CGACTACACTTCATAGGACCGCTGTATTGCTATTCCGGGCTGACTTATATTCGATAATAGACGCCGGAACACCGAGGAAAACAATGACTACACTTTTTCCCCTGCGACTACACCTAAAGGCACGGTTCACGATAATTTTGGGTACCCCAGATTATGACGAAAAGTGGAAGATAAGATGGAAAATAGTGCGATGGAGGCGAAGGAACTGCTTGTATCGTGTTTCCGAAGTGAAAAAAGGCTTCGAAGGATTGTTAAAAAGGGTTTGGACGAGAATGGGAACAAGAGAACGAAGAAGGGTGGGCGTCTGGACGAGCTACGCACAGCGCGTCATTGCGTACGTGTGGGTCCTGGTGCCAATATCTGACTATGGTAAGCAAAAATTCGTCCGTTTATAAGCATAAGTAAACAAAAAACCTAGTTACAGCAAACATGGCTCACCTTTTTCAGCCTTTTGGGGTAGGGTAGGAAATTAAAAAAGGAATCGCGGCAGCAAAAAGAATAACGGAGGAAAAAAGAATGTGAGCAAAACATCGCCTCATCACTCGGCAATCAGCTGGTTATGTGTGGGTCCTAGAACGAATATTCGTAATCTGTATTGCCTCAACACTCGTCTAACGTGACATCGATCGAGAGGCGGGAAAGCGGATCAATACAGCAACAGGGCTTCCACTATGCCCTGACTAAAGAGATTATGGGAGCGAGAGGGACCCTTCCACCACCCATGGGGGCCATTGAGTACTCCTTATGGAAGAACTCGGTAACCATTTTCATCGTGAACCGTGCCTTTAACTGACTGCAGTCACTTACAAATAGGAGTTACTAGCGCTATTTCACTATTTACTTACTATGAGTATATTTACTATGAGTAATGAACCGATAAAACCCACATTGAGAGCGATATCAAGGCATTCATCAAATTCACAAAAAGAAGTGCAAAGTATAAATAGCCGTAGATGAAAGAATCCGAGACGCTGCACGAGTTTTTCACGCAGATTTTACGACTTTATATGCCCGTTCAACATATTTCACCAAGTGGACTCATGTGCTTACAGGCATTTACGAGTTGACTAGATGCACTTCGAGCACTTATTTCCTGTAAATTCGTGTTTTTGCACGGAAGTACTGATTCAGTCATTTCTAAACGATGTCGCCTTCCGCCTCACCGTCTCAAGGATTGTTGCCATCACTGTATGCCCTCACAGCCACTGCTCTGCTTCTCTACTTTAAGGCGAAGATCACGATAAAAACGGTTCCTGAGATTTCTCCATAGTGTTGCTTCGAGCCCCCCACCCTGCCATACCTACCATTGAAAAAGCCGAAAAAAGTAAAAAGTCCTGCATAGGGCACAATGAGAGGCTAGAGATTGTATCGTGTGAATGCCACAACACCCCATTAGGCTGACTATGATATCTAATTTCCGGGCAGTGTTCGCACTGAGGCAACTTTTCAACTTTCATAAAAAATTAACCAGGAGATTGTCGTGGTACATTTTTGACAGTACTCCCAATCCACTGCTGCTCCTCGTGACTAAAATTGTTCTGAATAACTGTTCTAATAGAGTAGCATAAGTAAGAGAGCAGAGCAGAATAAAAACAGCTATGCCAAGATCATAAGCTGGTTGGAAAACAATATTGAACATTTTTGGCTTGTTGTAGTTAGCTGTATGCATTGATACCAAGTACCTCTTCCATACGACTTTGTGGTCACACGTCCAACACCCAATATTAGTACTTCTTGATGTGTTACATCTCTCTAAACACGCCGCTTTTCACTTTGTTGCCTTTACCTGCGCTATTCTAGACTACTTGTTTCACGAATCGCTGGTAACCGGATACCTCAACATTATAGGGAACTGTGTCTTTAAACAACAACATCGAGAAGATAGTTCTCGAGCTGTCATGTGGATACATGGACCCTTACGTGGATGGTTCCCCCACCTAACTTTGTCCCTTAGCGGTACGCGGCAAAACTCCAAACAAGCGCAATCTACTTCTAATAAAGCCAAGGGTAAGATGTAAGTTTATTTGAACCATAGAGTTCTAAACATTTTTTGTGATGTCATAACTATTCACCAGCTCTCGTTCCCTTTTCCCATAATACCTGAACGAAAGGAGCTCAAAAGGCCGTGACTACACCGCTAAACAAAAGTTTTAGGCGCCGTGCTCTGCTCACCATGTTACCTCAGGAATCCTTTCAAGACCTTTGCTCCTGGAAAGTCATAGTTCCTTAATAATTATCTCATCTTATGAGTTAATGAGTTCTGATTGATTCTGAGGCCCTAAAATTGATAAAATCCTCATCTGACCTGAACCGTTGTTATGATGAATAAGATTAAATTTGCACGACGTGGTTCGGAAAGATGGATGGCATGGTTTCAATAGGAATGAAAAGGCTCGTAACGTGTTATAAATCAACATATAACCTTACTAATTATACCTTACTTCCCTGATCTTGGGAATAAATCAAGAAGCCTAGAAAAGATCGTCCTGCATCTAGAAATGAGCAGGATAAACTGATCACAATCGTACTTCTGATGCGAAAACTGACACGAAATTCCACAATTCATTATTACACAACCCGTGGCACAGCGATAACAACCAGTCAGTGAAGGCATATATGTATAGTATATACAGAAAAAAGCGACTTTAAGTAGTTGAGAAATGGTAAGTCGATCAACCAATTAATGTACACCTCCAATATCTGGTCAAGCCCAAAATAACTTAAACAAGCAAACATGCACAGAACGACATAAATGTAAGTAAGTAATACACATCAATCAATTTCTTCCTAATGACTCTCAATAACGTCATTTAATAGTGAATAACTATTGATCAAAGTGAGCAGATCAAACGAAGTAAGCGATCGCCTGTCAGCGATCTGTTAGTCATGCTTGGCTATCAACTTGTATTTAACAGTAGGTTACAATAGCATACCGTAATTGTACAGATAAGTATGGGCTGAAGGTTCAGCAAAATAATAAGGAGCACGCAGTACATTGTACAGGACATAGGAACTAATATTGGATGATCCCAGAGTCCCTTCCCGTAAAGGATCAATCAAGTAGTCAGAATATGTGGATCCAAGGTTTCATAACAGGAACGTGTCAAGGGAGTAGGAATTGGTCTGCTCCACAAGAAATGACTCTTAGCATTGGCTTCACCTACTGTTACAAATGACTAGGGAGTATGAGTGGAGCACAGCAAGTTTGTCACCTTCTCAACGAGAAAACCCGACTGGATAAAGATTCTCATGGGTCAGGAACGATCCCATTACATTCATTGCGCTGCTTTGCTCGGTCCGAGCTAACCAAGGCACACATTATTCACTAAGGGGTCAGTTGAATACATGAGACAGCACGATTTTGTATGGAGTGCCGTTGGGAAATGCCGATATGTTGAATATCGTGAATTGCCTTATTACTACCTAAGAGCCTAGAAAATTGTTACGAAAAGCTTACAAGAACCCTCATATATTTTGAATATACAGAAAATGCCACATATCCTACAACGTCAAAGTTGAACGAACAGATTCCAGTATCATTGAAGTGATTGTCTGACCAGCCGCTGTGAGGAACTCGTTTTGAGCTTCCAAATCATGTGGCCTCATTCAAAGGTCACCCTTTCTCCGTTTGAGATCTTCCATTTAGACATTTGGACGACGTTTCAGAGGCATTCCCACTGAAGCCTAACAAACTGTCAGTTCAAATTGTTTACAGTGGCGAGTAGACTGCCCCCTTTAGGCATCAAAGGGCAGTTTTTAAATATTACCCCAGCTGGATTGCAACCTGTCCTAAAATATACCCTACTTATAAGATGCAGGTGATCAATTTAAAGTGCAAACCATCTTGAACCCGTAGAAGCCCTACAAAGGCGGCAGCGAGCGACAGGTCGAAGCGGGAGGCGGATGGGCACAAATACTCAGGAGTCGACAGAGACCGAACAGACATCAAAACATTATGCTTGGTTTTGGGAGACAGGGAAAGTTCTAACCCATCTTTGCTCGAAGGTCATTTATCCATTGAATAATGGCAAAAAGCATAGTGAACTGAACTTTTCCCAACAACTCGATGGACCCAAAGCCTAGTTCCTTTTGTCCGTCTTACAAGTTCCTGCTCTCTAAAGTTGGGTCTACTTCTACCTGTAGATTCTGAACCTCATCGTGAATACAGGCACTGCGTGAATAAGTAGCACGAGTTCATGTGACAGCAGTTCATTTACACAGCTTCTCACAACCTGGTCGGCCATGGCCAGACTGAACTCCAGCCAGGAGCTCGTAGCCATTGAATGGATTATCGGCGACGTCAGACTCCGAGCGCCGTCGGCCTCCTTACAGCGCGGAACGAACCTCGTGGAATGCGTGATCTGCACAAGAAGTTACTTTAGCAACACCTATCCAATTGTTGCGGCCATACAATCCCGAAACGCACCTGTGGAATGGGCTGGCAGCAAACTGCATCGGCGATCCAAAATCACCTGCACACGAGAAGTCGAGAGAGGTCAGTGAAGTTTCGCTCCCGATAGAACTTAGGTCGAAATTTGACAACGTTGCTTTCACCTGGAATGGTACCGAGTTAAACTCTTCTGAAAGAAGAAATCCAGCTTAGAACACAACAATGTATTGATAAAGACCTGCAATCGCTTCATAACCAAATCATTGGAAGATGGCACTCGCACAATCGGGAAATGCGGTTTTGGTCGAGGTGGTTGTGAAGTGAAGGTTCGTTGTCGAAGCCTGAAATATCAGATCATTGCTATATCACTGAAGTAGAAAAAGCAACAGAGTGAGGCAGAATTGGAGCCCACCCATCATAATTTTGTTAACCACAAAAAAAGTAATGCGCCATCGTTTATGACTTGCTAACTTGAAACGCACGTATAATTTCACTTGAATTAATCGCTTACTTCACGTGCCGATTTGTTTATGCGACTCCACTCTATTTCTTCTATACACATCGAAAATACTACCAAGTTCAAGTTTTCACTTTCCCAATTTCAAATGCTGCTGACTGCAGTTTTACTTCCCATTCTCTGGGTGGTTTCAAATTGAAGCATTGTTAAACGTTGAACCTGATACTTCATGAAAAAACCCTCGAAGGTACAGTTCACGATAATTTTAGGGATATAGTTGAGCTGCAGTAAACTGCCTGCGCGCAGGGTGTGGGTCCCGGCGCGAATGACGCAATTTCCACGGCAATAAGAACGCCCTAGAACCCGTCCATCCGGCTAAGCCGCTTCCGAGGCCCTTTTTAAGCTCTATCTTGGCTAGTTTTTGACACGACACTGTCTCTCAGGCTAACCTTCTTGATCACAGCTTTTCATCGAGGAAAGGTATTTCTGATTCCTTTTCTGGCGTGAACTGTGAATTTGAGCAGCTCACGAAAGCATTGCCGAGTTTTCTTGTTCACGTATTGAGTCACTCGATTCATTCACAGACATCGACACTGCTATTACTGATGACTCAGAACTTCTGAATCATTCGGTGGATGGATACTCTAATCATCGGTTGTTTTATTCTTGAGATTTAGGCAAAATGGATCAGAAACAGCACTCGCCCATCCAACGATTCATTAGGGGAAGACTGCTACCTGTTAGACCTGAAGTCGAGACTGTACAGCCTCATTAGAGTTTCTCAATGTGTTCCCTTCTTGTGTCCACCACAGCCTAATCCTAAATGAATTCAACTTGTTTGAGTTCAAACAGCAAAACGGGTTTCTGTCATTTATCATTTGCCATTCCTTGTTTCAACTCCCTTGGAAGGGAAAGTAATTGCCTAGTGTGCCGTCTCTCCTACTGGTGAATCACAAAACCAGTTGCCTGGCTAGTTCCCCACTACCATGAAACATAGCCCACTAGTGACTAGGTGAAAAAGATGCTAAGAAGGATCTTAGGTCATGGTCCACGCGTTCCCGAGCTGATTCTACGGTTGAACTTATTCTGAGCCTCCACATAAGAGAAGTAAGCGGCTCCCATGGCTAGCCAACAGGAGGGATCTTCGTCGAGAATTTCTCATTCCATGCCTACATGTCAAGAGGGTGAGAAATTACTTCTGATATCAATCGGGGGAACCTCTGAGCGTGGATTACCAAACCTTCAAGATCGTTCACTCCGTGGATATCGTAGTATCAGAATATGTCACCTTAGAGAGGGTGTTGAAATGTTCCTTTACTAGAATGAGGTCAGTATCAAAAAAAACTTGTATATATCGAATATAGGCTCTCTTTTCTCTTTTGAACTTTTTAAAAATTGATTGAAGCCAAACTTGTCCGTGTCTTCTAAGTCTTACTGTAAGCCGCACATCCAGTTTTTTTTGTATGTAAATATTCCTGACGTAGAAGTCGGGGATAGCATATCAAAACCATGACCCCTCAAAGTTCGGATTCATATCGCATTTAGAGCGCTTTGTCAACATGTCACAGTGTNTACTTACCGCGCTAGTTGTATTCGCTCATCTCGACACACAATATAATCTGTTCGAACTAATCCTTCTTCTCCTTCTTCGATCTCCTGCTCGAGCAGTTCAAACTCGGCCAATTCCTCTTGCCTGAAAGTGAATGGGCTAACTTTGAGAAAGTCCAATTCCGAAAACAACACATGCCATAAAACGGGTGGGTTCAGGCGTTCTTCTGGCTATTTCGCCGTAGAAGTTCATCGGACAGTTTGCCATGGGAAACTCACTCAATCAAGGACGCATTCAACTCCTCAACAGTAACGTCATTTACGAAAGATTTCTCCAGCTTCTCTTCGATAACGTGGAAATGATTTTCGCTGAAGAGACTGCACGTCGGCATTTCCGGCGACCTCGGTGATCTGAACAATATTTTCACGTATGTCCGTAAAAGAATGATGGCCGGCTACTCGGATGCTTTACCTTGATCGATCCAACTCTTCGCTGGAGCTCCTACTGACGTAGCCAACATCAGTATCGGATGAGCCACGAGGTTCTTTGCCAAACTTGGCTGATTTGAATTGAACAAGACCTTCGTAGAGAGAGCTTGCTGAAAAAAGATGCGAAATGCGGATACGGACCAGATAGGATAAGTTCTCTCTTCCAGAATTACATAACTCAAATTGTTCGCAACAGCCTCGGCACGCAGGAAATAAGCGGTGGACTACTTCGGGAGGAGGAGAGTAGAGGGAAGGGTTAGAAGGTAGTGACGCTTTGACTCATCATCTCGATCACCGGTGAAAGACGCCTATTCCAACGCACTCATGCCAGAAGGCTTACAACAATGTCCTTTCTGTAGTAGCAGATACGGGCAGCCAATGTTTAGGAAACGAAATGCATCCGAAAGTTAAGGTATTGGACAAGGTTACTGACGGTGACTGATACCCCAGGATAGCTGCTTGACATGATCGGGTTTATGGCTGACAGGTAACAAAAGCGAAACAATAGAAAGCAAAACAGAAAAACAAGTTATTCTATTATATTTTGACATTTACAAAAACCCACTGTGACTTTTCTTTTTTCGCTTTCGGTTCTCATCACTCTTCTCCATAGCTGTTGACACAGAAAACATCGACCGTCCGCCATGAATCAGTGCTACAAGATCCGCAGTGTTGAAGAGACTGATAGGGGCACTGTCGAAACGCTGGGACATCTTGCACAGCTCCTCGTAGACCATATTGTCCGTATCGACTGAGATCTTAGTAATGGTCAGATCACTGAGATATTTCAATCCAACGATCACTTCATCAACGTCGATAGTCGGACTACTGAAGCGATCTTTCATCATGGCTGCTGTCTCCTTCCAATTGCTCGACTGCGTGGGGTTTAGTTTTGGTCTAGAAATCATTTCTTCAAAGATAAGCCATAAATAATTCGTTCCACTTAGCTTCAGGTCACTGTTAGTGCAAAGACAGAGAGAGTTCATCTCCAATGTCTCCGCTGTCAGGGACGATGACGGCTGTATAGCTATTATGAACGGAGCCGTTACATTAACCTCAGCAGCGTTGATTTTACCATTAATGAGTGCGACTCCAAGTGATGTCATTCTCAGCCTCGTTAGCGAAAGATGACCGCAGCAATGGATGGACATAGCTGTTAGCCTGACGTTGATGCACTTTTGCATTGAAGCATGACAATTGATCCATTTTGCGTCGATTTCAACATCGTCCACTTGCTCCATTGAACCCCTAATCATAGCAGCACGTCTGCAGTTGTAGTTTACGTTAGTAATATTGGAGATCTTTATCGTCGATTGTAACGAACTACAGCAAACAGAGAGCTTTTCGGACGAGTTCGTACCACAGCATGTACCCGATAGGTTGACTGCATCAGCGTTCACAACGAAATTGTCACAAGACTCTATATCAGCGTTCAGACTCAGCTCACTGCAGTCAATAGCCACGGATTTCACATTTTTCAGCTTAGCCATTGAG